ACAGATCCATTTAAACATACTATAGAGTTGATAAACAACTTAAGAGAAGAAAAAATTATCTTAAGCTCACTTTAAAAATTAAAATTATATAACAATACCAGTTGTCACAATTAGCAAAAATTCCAATAGTGCACTTCATGAAAATATCCTAGGGAGTCTTGGTGATAATATCCTAGGAGCTGGTGGATGTAAAGAAAGCTAAGGCATCCCTTCTGCTATGGGTGTACTCGAGAGAATACTAAGAAATGAGGTTGAAATGAGGTACTTAATCACAAGATACAAAATAGAGAACTTAGCAAGTAACTGTATGTCATCTCAGCACCTGACAAGTAGTAAGTACCATGGATGGACAGAAAGATGCACATGTAGGTGAGGGGATGCATAGATGTCATATCTAGCAAGTTATCTTTATTATTGGGCCAGCGAGATTTGAATGTTTTAGTTTGTTATAAAAACAACAACTTCTTGAGAATTGGATAACTGCAGAAGCCAGATTAAGTGTAGATGTTATCCCTTATCAAAGAAACTTATCTCCACAGTAATGAAGTCGTTACAGAAAAGCACAACCTGACACAATGCAAAGGTCAAGCCAAGTTCCAGTGGATATATATGATATATATATATATATATATATGACATATATAATATAAATATATATATATAAATGTTTGCTGAGCCATAGATGCAGTAGCTGTGATATATATGAGAAGAAGAGTGATATATATGTGAAGAAGAGTCACAAAGATTGTAAGAGCCAGAACACCAGGAAACCTGCTGTGAAACATTCTTTCACAGAAATAGCTGTGTCTTAGTGAGAGCTTCTATGACTATGATAAAACAGCATGACCAAAAAGCAAGTTGGGGAGGAAAAGGTTTACATTTCATTATACTTCCAGGTAACAGTCCATGATTGAAGGAAGTCAGGACAGGAACTCAAGCAGGGAGGGCCCTGGAGGCAGGAGCTGATGCAGAGGCCATGGAGGGATGCTGCTTACTGGCTTGCTCCATATGGCTTGCTCAGCTTGCTTTCTTGGAGAACCCAGGACCACCAGCCCAGGAATGGCACCACTCACCGTGTGCTGGACCTTCCATAACCGATCACTAATTAAGAAAATGCCTTAGAGCTGAATCTTATGGACACATTTTCTCAATTGAGGTTCCCTTCTTTCAGATAACTCCAACTTGTATCAAGTTGACATTAAACTAGCCAGCACAGGATGTGTAAACAAGACAAGAATGGTGACAATATTAATAGATTGCTAACATAGAAGGGGAGGGGTATCTCACCATGGTTCCACTCCTAGGCAAAAAACTACAGGCAACTAATGACTGCCAAGAATGGGAGAATTAACCTCTCCTGGGGATTATTCCTGTAACTGGTTATGCAGCACAAAGCTGTCAGCCCTAAAGCCATATACACACAACAGAAACAGACTCAGCAGGCTGTATTTGTGATTACACATATGTATGTATGTAACAATATTTGTTAAAGAAAAAGAAGCTCTAATTTATGGGAGGAGTTGGAGGGAGAGAGGAATTGGGAGGGGCAAGGAGGAGGAAAGGGAAAGAGTAAGGGATGTAATTACATTTTAATTAAAAGTGTATATAAAAATCCCCAATAAGCCACACTGTGAAAACCAATATAAGTGAGACGTTACCCTCTTCAGTCTCATTATCAGCTCCTTCCTCCCTTTTATCTTCTGCATCTAAATCGATTCTTTCCTCCTCACTGTTCCGAAGAGTCCAGCACAGGCGATACAGCTGAGAGGAGACCACAGAGAGCATTAGCAAAAGGCGCATGTTTGCAAACACTGAACAACAGTCTCAGTTTTGTACAATTAAAAAAATCAGACTGCATGAAAAAGAATAATGGATTCTAATGAAAGGTGCTCCTGCCATATCACACTCTCCAAAACACATGAACCATTTAAAGTCATTTCTGTTTTTAATTATTTGGGAAGGAAACATTTAAAAATTCAAAATTTCTAAAACTCTTACTTTGGGCTTTTATATGTTCAGAAAAGTAGGACATTGACCTGGACTATTACACCTTGGCTTCACTCATTGTCCTTATTGTCTACGGTTAGTAGTAACTTCATTGTTATTACATTGTCCTTATTGTCTGTCAATAGTAACTTCATGGTTATTCCATTGTCCTTACTGTTTAACTGTGAAGAATAACTCATTGTTATTGTCCTTCTGTTTTTCAATAATAACTTCATTGTCCTTATTGTTTAACTGTCAATAGTAACTTCATTGTTATTTCATTGTCCTTATTGTCTAATTGTTAATAGTAACTTCATTGTTATCTTCAGCCTGGCTAGAGATTACTTTTTGCATTTAATTTATTTGTTGTTGTTGCTTGTTTGTCTGTTTGTTTGTTACACAGGTTCTCGTGTAGCCTAGGTTGACCTTTGTGGGAGACCTGCTCCCACTTTTTCCCCCAGGGTACTCTTGAGTAGGGAGAAGTAAGAAATATTTAGATAGAAATATAAAGAGGAGAGAGACAGATAGAAACATAGGATAGCCTCGGGAGGACCTGAGTCAAAAGCCACCAGCCCCTTCTATCTCTTCTAAAGAGCTATTTATAGAAATGCCAAGGAGTGGAGCAAAAATTTCCTCCTAGCACAGCCAAGTGCAGACCCTCCCAAACACCTGGTAACCACATGGTCATTTCATCCCCTATGCAGCCCTGCTGGGCAAAGCAAGCTCAGATCTCAATAGGAAACTTCTGTGGGCTCCCACGGACCTTCTACTTGCCATATAGCTGAGGATGTCCTTGAACTTCTGATCTTCCTGCCTCCACCTCCCAGGTGCTGGTGCACCATCATTCCTAGCTTAAAGGTTTCACTTAGCACATAATAATTATACATATTTATGTGGCAGAGAGCACTAATTTGACACATATATGCAACATGTATTGATCAAATCAAGGAAATTATCATTTCCATTTCTTTCAACATTCCTTTTGTGAGTGTGTTGAAAGCCTTCAATCCTCTTTCCTCCATTTCCTTATAAGCTACAGAACAAATTTCTGTGAAGTATCATCACTTCTCTGTTCTGTAGAATGCCAGGAGTTATTTCTCCAGCACAGTCTAAGTTGGAAACTTATCTGACTTTCCTCCCTCCTGTTCCACTTCCTATTCTGTGATGACTGGGGATTGCCAATGTCACTCGACATATTGTAAGTTCTATTTCTGCATCCATTCTATTTAGACATCTATCTGTGTTCAATTCCTGAATTTCAAATGTAATCACACATCCCTCTCCCATCCCACCTTTGAACTTTGTCCACTGTTTTTATTTTAAACTTCTAAGTTTTATGGAATTTTGACTATCATTTGTCCATTATATGGTCAAGTTTCTCTTGCTTTGTATATTAAAATTTTTGAAAACATATGGAACATGTGTTATCGTGT